TATTGTTAATTTTTTAACACATGGCTCATGTAACAGGGGCAAACCACTTAAACCACGATACCTGGCAGTGGAACCTCCAACTCTGTTGTGCTTTACAAGGAACACAATCTGTTTGTTGGTGGGAAGCCAGTGAGGGATCATGTAAAAATAATAGGTCACAATATTTGCCTGAAGGATCAACAAATTCAAGTGTGAGTTTCCTGTTTGGCTGACACAAAAACTACAACTACAAACTGTAGCTCTCTCACACTATTTACAGTCGACCTGATCAATATTTATTCATTATACACATTTTTTTAATCCAGGTGTAGATAAATTATGAAACATAATGTGACAGTACCTTCAGAAATCTTTTGTTGTTGAGTGTAAAATTAAAGATCTGTATTTTCATCGCGTCCCTAAACAAACAGATTTTCATCTCAATGGAAATCTAGGATGCAAAAGGGCCACATGTCGAGTCTTTTTCAGTCCCTGACCCCTTTCTCTGATTATCTCTGCATCAGCGCAACGCAGTACACCTGTGGTAGACATGCAGACACACAAACATGATCACACATGCAAATAACAGGTGTGGAGCAGGGGGAGTTGAGTGAGTTTTAAAAATCCTCCAAACTCACAAACACTTTGATGAGGTCAGCTCTGCCTCTGTGGCTGAGAGGAGCGGAGAGGAGAAATTGACCATTTAATTTTGAAAGGCTGTGGCATTCGAATTTTACTTTGAGTTATTTTAGTCTGTTTCAAATTATGTAAATTTATACATTCTGTCTTTTCGTTTGCACAAGGATCTTTATATATTTTCTCCTGTGCAAATATTGCAACCAATTCAGGAAATGAATTCCCTTAAAAAAACTTTTTTTTTTAAGGGAACAGTTTGTGTACTTATAAATAAAGAATAACTCGCAAAAAACTGCACTTTTGCCTGTTGAGCTGAGAGACCCCCAATAAAACAGGGATTTTCTGAGGAACTGATAATGTATGTGGCTCACACACTATGTCTAACCACTCAACAAACATCCTTGTGTTTGTAAGTGTCTAAAAGAATCTGACGGCCATGCAAACATCTGATGGCGTCTGCAGCCAAAGACACAGACAGACGACCTATTCAGGAGCGTGGCAAAGTCTGGAGTCGGGAACTCTTTTCCTGCTGCAGATCCCTGGTTTGCAAAGTGTTAGCTCATTGCATCAATCACACTTGTATTTCACAAGCAGAGCCATCCATGTGAATTAAATCTTGAGAAGGGTATTAGAAACACAGGAAAGATTTGGTAATAAAAAAGAAGTGGACCATATTATGAGTAGTACATCCTGAAAACACACAATTGGTAGCCATAATATAAACAAAATTCTACACTTTTTGCTTAAATATTCAGTAAGATGATTTGTTCCATTTGCAACCTGTATAACGATTGGAGGTTATACAGAGTTACCCCTCTAAATACAACACACCAAAAATACTTAATTTGATAGACGTCATTTCAGTGAAAAGGCATTGGAGTTATTTTGGCTCCAGTGTGAAACGATCATGGTGGGCAGGCTGCTATATCCCCTCTATGATCAAGACCATAACTAAACATGGTTGACTGACTAAAACATGAAAATTATATATTTATACACAGTATGTAGACTCTCCAGCAAGTGACGCATCATGATGAAATGCAAATGAAAAATAATCATCCCACAGTTGATGCTAAAATGACTTACAGCTTGCTGGTGTTATAGCTACTTGTAGGGTCTAAACCTAAAACTTAACATACTGGAGACGGCTCCGAAAGACGAATAAAAAGACTTTTACTTTAGACTTTTACTAGACCTTTGTGTAACAGACTTTGAATTTAATTATACAACCTTGTGTACTAAATGACAATAAAATAACCTTAAGTATTTTAATCCTTGAATTTAGGAGGATCTATTGGCAGAAATGGAATATAATATTTATAGGTATGTTTTCATATAATCACCTGAAAAGATGAATCATTGTGTTTTTGTTACTTTAGAATGAACCACTTTTATCTACAGAGGGAGCGGTTCATCCACTACAGAGTCCATGTTTCTACAGTAGCCCAGAAAGGAAAAACCAAACACTGGCTCTAGGTAGGCATTTGCATTCTGTGCAAGTTTTGCTGCCACTGCAATTTCTCCTACAAGCTTGGAGGGCTGAACAGTTTTCAAATCGGTTGTAATCTGCAACTTCACCGCTAGATGCCATTAAATCCTACACACTGGTCCTTTAGAGAGTCTACTGTCATTCTAGTGTGAATGACACATGAAACGTCATTACACAACCAACAAAGCTGCACAGAACCATCTGGACATCTCCACAGGCTATCTCTAAAAGTTATACCCAGAATTAAAATGATGTGGCTACAGCAGGCATACACTTATTTCATATTATGTGTGTGTGTGCGTGCAAGGCATGTTCAGTCTGAAGTCACCAACCCAAAGCTGTCCTTATGACATGTTACACAACTGATAGTGAAGTCTCTCCTATATATAGGCAGAACATTTGCATGCCTTCAAATGTCTTAAAATCAAATCATTAAAAAAAAATGTAAAAACTGACCTTGGAAATAAGCCTTTAAGTGAACATATGATATGTGAATGTGAACTGCCACGAAACTGATATTTCGTGGCAGAAAATTTCAAGAAGCAAGCGAGACGGCTGTGAAGAGGCCAGTTGTACAGCTGCAAATCAAATAGACTCTGCAATCCAATAAGGAACAGAGAGCTAGAGAGAGCACTGATTAGAGGTCAGCTGTTGAATGGGTTGGAGTACTTTAAAGCCTCACAAGATTCTTCAACAAATGAGCTATCTGCCATAGTTTTTTTTTTCTTATTCTGAAGTCAGAAATCAAAATGTGAATTGCCCAAATACACAAGCCTATGATCTTTCTCAAAGCAGCTCAGCCACAGTGAAATTGAAGCTGCAACAAAAACAAGAACTGGATTGTAGCAGGAAAGGAGTCTCTGCTGGTTGCTTCAGTTCAGCTTTCATTCATGTTCATCCAAACGCTGTAGTTTTATTTTCCCACAACTGTACCAGCAGGAGAAATCAATGAACTTCACAGAGACATGATACATGTCTTACATGTCAGTTTATATTTTAATGAGGATTTATGTCTTTTTTAACCTACTTTGTTGTAATGTACAGCTGCATTTAAAGACACAACCCACACACTCACACTGCAGAGAAGATCTAAAGCCTCCTATAGCCTCATAAAAACTAAATGCACTGTATACAGAACCCCAACTTTTATCATCAGTCAGTGATATGACTGCACAGGTCCTCTGTCTTTATTTGATGGCATTTAGTGTTTTGAGCGTCCTCTGTGTAGAAACATAGACATTGAAGGCATTTAGACTAAATATATTGAAATGTGATTTGCATATATGTCCGTCCTGAAAGCCCTTTGCAAATTTGTGATTTATTTTATTTTTGGCTATAACTGACCTGACTTTTAAGCCAGCAATTAAAAGTAAATAAATAATTCAGCATTTCCCCACCAGAATTTTATTCCTGGCAGTGTAAAGACTTTGAAGCTGCGTTTGGACCAGGGGGTGCCCAGAATTTTTCTCTTGGAAACAAAACTGAAACGTAATGGTGGGCTATGGGCCAAAATCAAACACCAATTGTATTGTATAGATGAGATGGGAAATGATAATAAGATTACACGTTCCCTTAATTGACTGACTCCCTGTTTAAGTGTTTCTGCTCGCTGTGCTCAGCTTATGAAAAATAATTAATAATTAGGGATTCTATATTTTGCTACACAAAATAAAATAGTATGAACAGCAATGTATATTATAATCAGGGCTAGGGAAGGTTTACTTTAAAATGTAATCACATACAAGCACTAATTCCCTGTTAAAGTCAGTAACCTAATCAAGTATCACAATATTACATTATTTTCTTTTTACTTTTGGATTGCCTCAACACCAAAAATGCACATAAAGACAGGATTAAATGAATGTAAAAAAGATCATGTATATTCTATAAGACAACAGAACAATGTAATCTTAGAAAAGAAAATGGAAACCAAGATTTTTAGCATCAAAAACTTAGTTTTCATTAAGCAGAGCAGATATAAGCATTAGCCATCTGCACAGCTGGAAGGCAGAAGCTGCACTGTACTCTGATGTATTTTAATAATTGAATCCTGATAATAATCCCTATTTTTACCAAATGTAATTGTAATATGATTAGATATGTTGTCCTGTAATGGTTTAGTTACCCTTTTTTGTATCTTGATTACCTAACTACGTTACATGTAATCCGTTCCTCCAAAATTACATAAAATGTGAAAATATGGAAATATTTGCAAACATTTTAGAGACTTTTTTTGGTGTCTGGTCACAAATGTTTGAAGGGGTGTGGAGGTAATGTGTATATATAAAGGTGTGGATGCATTCAGGTGACCCCTGTTGCTGGCTGCTTCAGATAGTCTATACTAATTTAACAGATTACAAACAAACACTTGTTTGTCGTGTATTTGCCTATTTTTTTGGGGGGGGGNNGGGGGGGGGGGGTCATTCCACGCTGGCCGTTTCACCGACGCCCGCCTTTCCCAGCAGCACGTGAAGGCACCACACCAACCCTGATCCATTGATCCGTAATCCAGGCGCCGGTAGGACTCGTGTTTCCACGCCTCCCACTTTCACCCCCATTGTGGTGAATCTCCGGCTCACACACACTTTGCCAGACTTCCAGGAGTTTGGAGCGACCGGTCCGAAGACGGAACACCGACAACGTTTTTTTTTTGTTTTTTTTAAAAGAAAAAAGAAAGAAACTATCCCTCTTTTGACGCATGGATCTACTTTCTCCTCTGGAGGGATTTGACGGAGTTGCGATGGTTTGCGCTGCCGGGAACTGTGGAGACTTGTGCCGGAGAGAAAGGGCTCACGTCCTCTACGCTGCAAAGTTGTAAAAGTAGTTTCCCCCCCTTGAAGTTTTTCTTTTTCCGCCGCCAGTTCAGACTCTCCAGCCTGTTAGACGCACAGCCACCATGGCGAGGCGGACGGGGGAGACACCTCTGCTTTTGCCGCCGATTACGCGCGCTGCTTTCCGGGATAAACACCTTCGGTTTCACGGGGGCTTGATGGCTTTTTCCTGGAGCTTCATCTTAATCTGCTGGGCTCTTTCTTGTGGATATTGCGGAGCCGAGTCTGAGTTTTCCATCCTGGAGGAAGCGCAAGTTTTGGCCGATCAGATGAAGAAGCTGTCCTCTCAGGAGCTGGGAGTCTTCACTATGCAGGTAAACGTGGAAGGGATGGAACTGAGCTGGTGTGGGGGGTTTTATTTATGTGTGAAACTGTGAGATATTTCTGTGAGTTGGAGCGGGTTTAAAAGGGGCCAACACTGGCACAAGCAGGAGAGTTAAAATGGGGGGGGCAAACAATAATAATGTGATAACCACTTGAGGGGAAGTTTGTTGACAGTAATGTGAGGGGACAATAAGCTCTTTGCTTTGCTCTGTCTTGCTCAACAACAAGCGCTTTGAAGTTGGGACGCGTTTATCTGGGACATGAACGCGCTGGAGGTTTGGTGTTCCGGGGCGGCTTGTGTTTCACCTTTATTATTCCCTCATCTGGTTAAATAGATGCATTTTTTTTTTTTATTAAAGATCCTTTGTTTCGAGACATTCACTGTGCGTGTGCTGCAAAGACAAATGGAAAAGGTGAATAAGAGACTGTCACCTACTGTGATTAACGTGAGCGCTCAGCCATGGAGAGGCATTTCATTCTGATAAATGATTGAGCTCGTTTGTCCTCATGGATAAGAGCAGCTGGATGCGGTTAACTGGGATCATAAGCCCTGTTTTATAAAGGTGGACACATTGTAAAGCTTTTTTATAATTCGACTGCTTCCCTAGTGTGTCTGAGAATCTGTCTCCTGAGCGTCACATAACATGAATAAAGCCATATTTTATCTGAATTGACTGCAATTAGAGAATCAGCTTTTGGACAGGAGGAGAAGTCAGAGTGTTTGTGATTAAATTCGAACAGTCAATCCGATTTTGTTCATTGTCTCTGTCAGCATCAGTTGTATTAGGGCTGCAACCAATGAGCTGATGATGCTGTATGAACAGCTATTGATGATTTTTTTTAGGGTAATTGATTAATTGGTTGGTTAAATGTCAGAAAATAGTGAAAAATGACCAGAGCTCAAGGTGATGCCTTTAAATAGCTTGATCCAAAAGCTCAAAGATATTCAGTTTCTAATTATATTAAAAGGAGGAAAGCAGTAAATCCTCACATTTCAGACACTAACCAGGGATTTTTTGTCTGATAGATGTTTTAAAGGATTCATTGTTTCATTTTTTCAGCTCTGACTGCAACTGATTTTTGTGTTTTATTAGATGATCATTATTTAATGTGCCCTTTTTCTTGCTCATTGAAGATATCAAGAACAACCTTTTTTTTAAACCCCATAATCTGTGTAATGAGTGTATCCTCATATTACATTATATCAGCCTCGATAGATTATTGATTTTAGAGCTCAAACAGATTCTTCAATTAGATGACTTAGATGATGTGAATCGAGTAAAGGTTTGACACACATGTATGCCCAAATGACACCGGCTTAAGCTAATAAAATGTTAATATTTGTGGATTTTGTTTGTCTTTTGTGATAGTAAACTGATAAATCTTTAAAAATTGTCAACTATTTAGGAAAAATGAAAGTCATTTATTTTAAATTACCAAACATTTGTATGTTCCACCTCCTTAATTCAGAGGATTTGCTGTTTATGTTTGTTTTATATGAGAATATGTTGCCTTTTGGTTTTGACTAAACGAGATTTGAATGGGTCACCTTGGACTTTAGGAAACAGTAAAATTTTTCAGTATTTCCAGTTTATTTTTACAATTAATCGAGAAAATAACGTGAGCACAGCCGAAACGCTACTTTCATGTCCATCCGTGCAGAGCTGCGTTGAGTCACCAAATGGCAGGAGGTGCAGTGCCGGGTGCTGCAGGGTGTGAGGGGGGTGTTTAGCACTTCAGAGGCAGTGGCGCTCACAGGCCCTGAACACAGAGGCGAGGCAGCGGGGGGGCCCTGCCCCCAAATGGTGTTTCATCTTCTCCGCTTCCACACTGAGCTGCCTTCATCCCGGCTCTGGGAGTTGGCTTTGAGGGCTTCCTCTGATCCCTCTGGATCCGCCTTTGTCGCCGCTCATCCCTCCCTGAGCTCCAGTTTGTGCTTGGTTTCCGTCTCATTCCGGTTCTCCCCATCACAGAAAATGACACTGTTTGTGCAGTCTGTCTTATTTGCTCTGCATTATTCTTCTTTTGCTGCATAAAGTAAAAATATATCAGCCCGCTTTTTGTTATCTTTCTGGTTCCTTCTGTCTTTATTTCTGTTTTTCTCTCATATCAGAGTACAGTTGTTCTATAGCTGCAAAGATGTAATTAATCCAACGTGAAATATTTTATTTTTTTACATGACTCATTCTAATTACATTCAACCCTTTCTTAGTATTTCTGGAAATATGCATACAGAATCGTCCCCCTGTATCGTGGGAAAACTGTTTTCAGGATGTTGTTGTACAAGCTGTGAAAATCTGCGTTGGCATGAAGCTAATGTGAGTTTGATTGAAGCGGTACATTTCATGGATTGTCAGAGCGGTTTTCCGCGAATGTAAGAGATGTGCATCCAGTAAAAACAGTCCGCATCTGCCCGTGAAAACAACTGCAGGAATCTGTCGGCCACGCAGTCTGTGTGGACACCTGCTCTGATGCTCAGATGTGGCCTGACTGGCAGTCTGCAGGTGTGTCAGCTGAAGTAGATTTCACTTTATCTCTCTGTCTGTTTGACATTTTTCCCTTTTCCCCTTGCAGTGACGGAGGCAGTGATTTTCCACACTGTGATTTTTTTTTCCCCCATCTAAAATATTCTTTTATCCAAACGGCACCATTGCCTTTTAATACAAGTCCTGTTTTCTGGAGTCACAGCTGACATTCATTATCTTTTTGTAGGTTCTATGCTTTTGGCACAGAGACACCAACGTGCAGAGTTCACGCTGTACCATTTCAGAGAAGATCTGAAGGTTTTGTTATCAAGCGAGCATCCCAGCATCTCCATTTAAACCGTAATTCTACCCCTCTTCACTCCACCCCTCATTCTCTGGCAGATGTGTAATTTGAGGCTTGCGTTGTCGGTGCTTCTGAGTCACTGGGTCAACCTTGTTCAATCTGTCATTGAGTTACTCAGTTTTCAGGGGACACTGGGGGTGTACAGTTGACACTTTTAAGTTGATAGGTCAACATTTCAGAGGATGTTTGTCCCCAGAGTATAATCAGATTTATGTTGTTAAGGTAATTCTCTGGGAAGGTTTTAAGGTATTCTTATACAATATACTACATAGTTTATTTTTGGGAGATTATTCTAACTACAAAGATTGCTACCACAAAGTTTGCTGTAAGGCTGCAGCTAACGGTTATCCTCATTATTGATTCATCTGTCATTTCCTCGATTATTTGATTATTGGTTTAGTCTATGAAATGTCAGTCATTATCCCGACTGTGCTGTCGTTGGAAAATTGATTGGAAAAGAACGGGCACTTTCACAAAGTACTCGGCAGGTGATTTGGTGGAACAATGAGTCTGTCGCCACCTATTGTGGGCGAACTTCAACCAATCAGATCAATGCACCATCTAACAAAGTCAAACTCTTACCCGAACCAGTCAGGAAAGAACAAAAAAATCTTTTCCATGGACAAAAGCCTTCAGGTACCACTGTACCATAGATTCTTGCATGAACTCATGATTTTTGTGATCTCAAGGTTAGTCAATCACGTCCATCAAACATTTCTCAGAGCCAAAGTCGACGTCTTCAAATGTTTTATTCTGTTTTATTCAGTATTTGAGACACATTTCAGTTTTCCTACTTTTGTAAATGTGGTATCTTGTTTAGTGTCTCTACAATTTAGTTAGTCAGTACAGAAATGTGGTTTTCCCATCATTTACATATTAAATTTTCCTTAATGTGTTATTTACTTAAAACAGCCTTTGTGTGGCTCTTGTCAAGTTGTAGCTGATGCATACTATTTGTTGTATCTTTGATTGATTGCAGCCTGACCTTGCAGGTTCTCAGTGCGGAAACCAGAAAGTTAAGAATAGTCTGCCACATTAAGGAATTACTTCACGTCCTTCTGACTGATTTATGACTGTCTCTGCCATGTGACTCTCTGTGGTTTATGTGAAAGCAGGCAGTCTTCTCTGATATATGTAACTAATGAGCATTTCATCTCAGATTTTCTGTGGCTTAAAGTAGGAGGTTTTACATGGCAATTTGGATTTAGCCGTGAATGTAAATATGAAATTTAATCTCCTTTCCCTTTTCCATGTTATTAAAACACAGGCTTGGTGCTACTCTTGTCATGTGGGCGCCCACTGGAGCCAAGACCACGGCACAAGTTTCCAGCCTCAGTTACAGCAACACGTGCCTGATCACTGTTGGAAACATTGAGAAACTTTAAAGGTGTAACGAACCGGCGTATTGTTGCTAGAGGTGAAGCCAAAAAGAGATCACTCGTCATCAAAGTGTGAAAAGTCCAGTTCACTTGCTTTTACTGAGAGGGTATTTACGGCCCCGTCGGCTGATTATTTACAAAGGAAATTTCACCGTGTTAGTTTTAAGGGCCTGAATCCACAGAGAAGTGTGGTTTGTTATTGAGACTGGCTCGTCCAGTATCCCCGGCCCCCTAATTGAATATTGATAGTAATTTGAGGGAAATGGAGGTTTGTGCAGGAAAAGAGAAAATTGGGGTAGCTCCTGCCCTGTCATTATGCTGTGATTTTCTGGGTTGGGTTTGGTCCAAGGGCAACACCAGTTGAGGGGCTATCACAGAGCCCCGATTCCTGCTTTTGATTTGATTTTGATTCAGGCTCTTTTAACATATATAAATATCTTTTCTGTCTCTTCTGTCTCTTTGTTTCCATGTGCTTTAATTTTCATCTTATTTCTCTACTTTCTCTTTCGTCTGTCTCTCGGCTGCCTTCTTCTCTTTTCTTCTCTTTATATTGAATCAGTTGCAGAGGCAGGCAGGCACCGAGGAGGAGGGTTGGAGGATGTACAGCAGGACATCAGAATTCCGGCTAGGTTCTCTGCAGTACAGCTTCAAAGCCTTCTTGCCTCTTACTGCATTGCCTGCATGGCTGTGTGCTCAAACAGTCAAGGTTACTGTGAGCCTCACAGGCCCTCTGCTACATGTGGGACTATTACTATCTCTCATCCATTCTCTCTTTTGACTTT